AGATAGTATATATATAATCATAATGATCACATACATCGTCAAACAAAACTGCTCGATAAACCATAGGCTGAGAGGGGGAAGAGAACACAAAAAAATTGATTGAGATAAACTGTTTCGTTGAAGTTTCACCGAATCATTAGAAGGCTTAAGTTAAACCCTCAATAATCGTTGTTAAACCCTCAATAATATGCAGAATCCCCTAAATGATTACATTGTAAGTGATAATCCACCCTACCCCGGTTGCGACTAAGCATCGATGACTGCTTGATAGATAATACCTAGAGTGGTTGGTGCCCACCTCAGGGTGTTACTTGTCGGGCAGTCGTTGATGCTTAACCACAACCGGGGTTAAGGTCGATTATCACTTATAGTGTACTTAGTTAGGGGATTATGCATACTGTTGAGGTTTCAGCCTGCCGATGAGTCGATCAAACTCACCTCAAGGTATCACTTATCGGGTGGTCGTTGATGCTTAACCACAACAGGGGGTTATGGTGAATTATCACTTACAATGTAATTAGTTAGGGGATTTTGCAAATTGTTGAGGATTCTGCCTCCTGATGAGTTGGTGAAACTCACCTCAGGATATCACTTGTCGGATAGTCGTTTTTGCTTAACCACAATCGGGGTTAAGGTGGATTATCACTTACAGTGTAATCAGCTAGGGGATTCTGCAGACTATTGAGGGTTCAGCCTCCTGATGAGTTGGTGAAACTCCGACGAAACAGTTTGTCACAGTCCAGGACCCTCGTTTGTTGTCCTCTTCTCCTTCTTTGCCTACGGTTTACCGGGCAGTTTTGTTTCAAGATATATATATTTCTCTCAATTTTTAACTGGCTTTTGTCATGTCATGAAACATATTTCATCTTTCGCAACCTACCTACCACTACTCGTAAGGCTATACAGGGGACCCCTGCAAGCATGGCTATCTACCTCTCTTCGGTAACGGGAGGTTACCTCTCTCGGTGGAGGGAGGTAACTCCATATTTGCCCCTTGCCGCAGTGGTTTAGGGTGCAGGGTTGGGGCCGCCGGTGGGGCCCCGTCTAACAGAAGGACCGAACATTTGTCAGTAACTGCACCGCGCTTTTCATCTTCCCCCACCCCGTTCGAGTAACAGAAGTGTCAGACTCTACAACCAACACTCTCCCACACACCACACGCAACCCACTCACACTCGCACTCACACCCGTGCTGGCTGAAGACCCTATTAATACCGACCGAGAGGATCCAGCTGGCTATCGCAGTTGGTTGGTACCAAAGTACCTCCTGAATGCCACTTGCGTGCCTAACCACTTGAGCTAGGCCGCTGGATACACAGAAGGTTAGCATGGTCCCTGCACAAGGATGACACACATAAATAGAGAAAAGTTGTTTGTGTTGGACAGCTACATAAAGCTTTTGATTTTTTCCATCCTTTTTTTGTTTTTTTTTTTTTCCTGAAAAGTCAGATTTTTAAAAATTAATATAGTCTTAAACTATCCGGACAGCATCCCGACCTTCACGTCTGGGGCCACATCCCACAAGCTGTGGTCTACTTTTTGAGTAGGCACTGGTTACTGCCATCCGATCTGTCTGAACATCTCTCGTCCTGCACTGCGGGCCTCCCCGTGGCCACGCTGAAAAATACTCAAAAGGAAGACCAAAACCCCACTAGTGGGACTTAGCCCCCGGACTTGGGGCCTCGTTCGACACCACTTGAACTCAAGGGTTGACGGAAAATTCTTTGTTCCACCCCTCCCTAATGACCCCACCGTAATTTTTTCACTTTCCTGCTCTCACGTGTGCATACTTGAAACTCAAGTGCCACTGGAGCAAAATCACACTTGAACTCAAGGAGGTACCTTGAAGGTACCTTGAATTCAAGTGCCAGGGGATACCACCAGCAGTCCAAGTGGGGCTTTTTTTTTGTTTTCTTTTTTTTCCAGCAGGGGATCCTGGTCCAGGATTGGTCAAGCCGCCAAGTTTGGTTTCAAGTGCAGTCAGTTCAAGGGTTTCCTCAAGTGGGCATGGAACCATAAATGGAGTAAGTGTAAATTAATTGCAATTTCTCATTTAGTGTACACTTGAAACTCAAGTATTTTCAAGTGGCATAGAACGCGGTTCTTGGACATCCAGCCCTGGAAAACAACCTACTCTTTTGAGTGGGTGTGTTGTGTACTTTCCGTAATGGTTTTTTTTTTTTTTTCCCCGTAATGATTGTACCCAGTCACGGTCGATGTTGCATGTTTAAAAAAAAAAAAAAAAAAAAAAAAAGTCACGGTCGAGGTTGCATATCCGTTTCAGTGGTTGAGCTTAGACGCTGGGCCCCATCCTAGTCTTCGAAGCTTTGTGACCAGGAAAAAACAATCCAACAGGTGGATTGTTCGTTTGCGCAGTGGACTCTTCCAGCAGGTGAAGCGCGGTGGACTGTTCCACTTGTTTTTGTTCTTGTTTTCTTTTTTTTTTTCTTTTGGGGGGGGGGGGGGGGGGGTTTTTTTTTTTTTTTGGGGGGGGGGGTCTTCTTCTTCTTCTTCTTCTTCTTCTTCTTCTTTCTTTCTTTCTTTCTTTCTTTCTTTCTTTCTTTCTTTCTTGTGGGTGGGGGGGGGGGGGTGGTTTTTTTTTGTGTGGGGGGGGGGGGGGGGGGGGGGGTGGTTGCTTTCTTGGGGGGGTGGAACTGTGGCTGTGACACACGTTTAATTTGAAAAAATAGGCAAGAAAACACAAAAGTGGCGCCGGTGTCATGGTGTGGGTTTCCAAATGTGCAAGACGTTTCGCGGGGGTCTAAGACTGCGCCCGTCAGTGCATACTCATCCAACGACTTTCCTAAATGCAGCTGACCGCAATTACGGCAAGAGTTGGATGAATCTGACCGCGACCATGTCCACAGCTTAGTAGAAAAAGTCGTACCTTCTTCACCCGAATACAACGTACGGTCACTAATTATAGCTGTATTTGGGGTATCTTTCCGTCTAAATACAGCAATAATGACCGGGTGTTCTATTCGGGTGAAGACGGTAGTGTGAGTATTCCCTCATTACGCCGGTCGCCTTTTTGGCTTCACATTTCGGGAAGTATATAATAATTTTACTTTGCCCCTTTTGTGGACGTTGAGTGTGACTCCAACGCACTTGCCCCCTTTTTTTGCCCTTCAATCAAAACATCATTCGGGGATGGTCCCATCCCCAGGAGAGGTGATACGATCGCGCATCCTCCGGGGGAGGGGGTCTCCACTGCTTGATAGGCCCAGTCTATTAGTGGGGAGCTTCATTTGCTGGAAATCGGGTCCAGCGTCCCTGTTTGAACTTTTTTTCTTTTTCCAACCCCCCCCCCCCCCCCTCCCTCCCTCTCCCCCCGCTCCCTCTCCCCCCTCTCCCTCTCTCCCTCAAGACCTGTTTGAGCTTCGAACACAATAGTTTGTATTTGCATTAAACAACTGACAGAAACAAAACGGGCCAGCCAGTGATATGGCCGCTCTTATTCGCACTACTGGATTGGATGTCAACCTGTGGAAGCACCCTCCATTTGCCCAAGTTGTGGGGATGCAGCTCGACGTGTGCAGTTCCCGATGTGTGCGAGAGAATCTTTGGCGCGGGAAGGGGGGAGGAGAGGCTGTTGTTGTCGTCAACGATTTTTTTTTTTTTTTTTTTTTTTTTAATTTAAATGAAGGAGTTTACGTCCGGTTTTGACCTGATGTTTTCTATTGTGTGATTGTGTGGACGTGGCTTGTGGGAAAAAAAAAAAAAAAAGGTGTCGACGTGGCCGTCGCCTACTGCTTCACAAGCTCGGCGAATGTTTCGGGCGGTCATAGAATCATTGATATCGTCGGAGGACCTTGCACGTGGAACGACGACGATTGATAAGCTGGAAACGAGAGTTGAATGTGGACAGAATATACGTCGTATACGTCGGAGGAGAAGAGCTGATACTAGTTCTTCTCACTCGGAGAGACGCAGGAGCGAGGAGCAGAAAGAGGAGAGGGAGGGCAGGAGGAGGAGGGGAAAGAGAAGGAGAGGGAGGAGGAGGAGGAGGAAGAGGAGGAGGAGGAGGTGGAGACAAGACGCGAGCTAGCCAAACCGTCTCTGTTTTCGATTCTCTTGCCTAGTACTTCCTTCTTGTTCCGTTAAATTCTCCGTTTGGTTCTCTGGCTACGTTTTCCGTTAAGTTCCGTTACGGAATCGTTTGGCCTCGAGGATGAGAATCGACAGTCGTTCACTGAGGTCACCGCCGCTCAATTCTTTTTGACTTTACCAACACTGAATTCATTTAATTGATTAATTAATCAATTGACTGACTGGAATTGATCACATTAATTGATTATAATTACTGTAATCGAAGTAATTGTTGGCATTTAACTACTACCTTGTTTTCTGTTCCCTCCCCCCCCCCTTCTGGCTGCTGAGCGTCCACCCCTGCCCCCTGTCTATCTTCAAATAAGACACGAAATAAGAAAATCAAAGGTAAAGAAATGGCCACCACGTGCTCCTCAACACATCACGCTGAACCAATCTATACACAGCCACGTGTTCTAAATATAGCCAGGCCTTTTAAATATAGCCACGTGTTGTAAATATAGCCACGTTTGGGTTCCGTCGTTACCCAGGAAGAAGCGCATAATCGTCGACGCTCCGTTTTGACTGTGCATGCGCGACGGTCATCCTCAGGGGCGAGGTCCCAATAGCACAGAGGATTAGATTTAACGCCCGAATGTGGACATGTTTGAGGACAGATGCAGAAAAGTGTGATTGATCTGATTTTCTGCATCTCCGCTAAGAACGTACCCAGATTCAGGTTGAACTTCTTTAAGCCGATCCACTTGCTTGCTTCTGAACACGTCAAGATTAGAAATCTAAATATACCCACGTGCTCTAAATATAGCCACGTCTGGGGTCCGTCGTTACCCAGGACGTGGGCATAATCCTGAACGGCGCTGAGTTTCGAATGTCTGCGCCATGGTCATCCTCAGCGGCGAGGTCCCACTACGTAGCGCAGAGGGTCAGACAGATTTACCGCCTGAATCTGGACGTGTGTGAGAACAGATGCAGAGAAGCGTGATTGATCTGGATCTGCTTTTCTGCATCTCCGCGAAGAATCTATCCAGATGCAGGTTCTTACTCCGAGATCCACTTTGCTAGTGGGACCTAGCCCCCCCAGCTGGCTTTCCTCCTTCCCTCCATTCCCAAGCCTGGCGGCTACTACCTAATCAGAATATACTACTAGGAATTCAAAAGAAGTAAAACACCCTTTTTCTTCTACACCTCTCTCGTCCTTTTGGCTATATATATATATATATATACGTAAGGATCAAGCGTGCGTAGTATCTGTTCTGATCAGTTTCATCTCTGAGTCCCCCTGGCCCACCGAAGCCCATTAAATCCTCCCTCTCATCACCATGCCGAGGAAGGCGCGGCACACCGTGATGTGCCCGATCCGTGTCGAATCTCTCCTTTGGCCGTCAGCTGGACCGGCGGCTTTCAGCTGTAGCCCACGTGGCCCCCCCGCCTCAAGCAAAATCCACAGTCAAGAGAGAGCCAGGGCGGACGGGCTTGCCGTCTTCGACAGAGGGCGCATCAAGCATGCGGCAGTTATAGGCGCCGGTGTATCTGGGTTGATGATGGCGAAACTGTTGATGTCACAAGGAATAGAAGTGACTATTTTTGACCAGAATGTGGAAGTGGGGGGGTTTTGGACGAGCCCTGAGGCCGCAAATGCAGCCCAAAATGGAAATGGAAGGTGCCCCTACGAGATACCGGAGTACCCGTTTGTGGGACAGTGTTCCGACAGACCGACAGCGCAGCAAGTGCAACAGTACCTCCAGTCGTATGCAATACAGCAGCGGCTATGGCCGCATTTAATGATGTCGACAACAGTGCACGGCCTGAAACGACCAGAGGGATCCGGGTTCGGATGGAAGCTGCAGTACACGTTCGACACGCCGGCGACAAATGTGTTGTCGTCACCAGCGTCTTCGTGTTTCTCTCTACAGATAGAGCCGTTCGTAGGGAGCGACTTGGAATTGGGAGGGAAAGGAGGAGGAGGTTCCGGTGGGGCGGGGAGCGTTGGAGGAGGAAGAGGGGGAGGAGGAAGAGGGGGAGGAGGAGGAGGAGGAGGAGGAGGAGGGAGGGGGGATGACTCTGACGAAGAGACCACCAGCTTCGTCACTGGCGTCGATTGGAGCTTTAATCGGTTGTGGGGAGAAGGAGGGGGGAAAGACTTGCTGGCGGGACCGGGATCGGCATCGGGATCGGAAGGGGGAGGGGGAGGGGGAGGGGGGGGGCAGGCCTCGGTAAACAAAGCAAACGCGGAAGGAGTGCCCACACCAGTGCCGGCAGCGTTCCCGGGGTTTTCTGCGGGACTGCCAGCGGGATTTCCGACGGGTCTTCCGCCGGGATTCCCCACGGAACCTGCGAGCCAGCAGCGGATATATCCGCTGCTGGCTGCGGATCGCCGGCGGCGGCGGGACGTGGCGCAAACAACCTGGGCCCCTACAACACCCACTCAGTGCGAGAGCTGGGAATCGAACTGGTCGATGTGCAGTGGTACTAGCTGGGACTTGAACTCTGTTCTTCTTCTTAAGGATCGGAACAGCGATCTGAACACCCCAGCAGCTGCGTTTTCCGATGGGATCAGCCAAGCTAGGACATCAACAGAGTTCCCCGCCGTCGACAGCAAGCGTGATCATGGTGCATCAGCACCAGCAGCAGCAGGAGGAGGAGGAGGAGGAGGAGGAGGAGGAGGAGGAGGAGGAGGAGGGCGGATTGGTTATCATCAGAGAGCATCGCGAACAACCTCTGGACTTCCAGATTCTGGAAGTGCGAGCACGAGGAGATCTGCATCTTCGCCCGCATTGTCGTATAACGGCCGCAGATCGATGGAGAATATCCACATCGACCTCGGGAAATCTGGGTCTCTTACACCGGGAGGAGGTACTCCTCCCTCTGGTGGTCGTTCTCCCATTGCCAATCGAGGAGGTATGATGATGGGCAGGAGCAACGACTCTGGATCCCCTCCCTCGCCGCCTCCTCCTCACGAGAAGACGAGCCGTGGCGTACTCCAGAATTCCGGTCCTCTGACGATTCTGCTTCCTGGCAGAGATCGACTCGGCTTCGCTTCAGACTCGGTGGGTGCGGAGCTGAGGGCGGCCTGGGCGCCACGTGGCATGCGGACGAAGGTCGGCAGCAACGCTGACATGCTCTCGGCTATGGCGGTAACGGCCAGAAAGGAGGAAGAAGACGACGGCGGCGGCTATGGCGGTGGTGTCCGAAAGAGCATCAATGTCGCCACCGGTCGAGCTGGTCGGTATCCCGTTCGAGAAGATGACGATCTGTCCTGCGAAAGCCCCCTTAATTTCTACGGCAATGGTTCTGGGTGTTACAAGCCTGATACTAACCACACTCCCCCCGCGACGCCCCCCCAAACTACTCCTCTTTCTTCAAAGGCTTTGCTGGAAAACAGTACGCGATCCAGCGGAAGCAGATGGAATTTCCATCGTGATCGGGATCGAGAGAGTCCTGACAGGTCAGGAGGGACCTCGTCCTCCTCCTCCTCATCATCATCATGGACTCAACTGACACGGAGTTGGTCCGACTCCGACTACTTCGCTGATGACCTGGCAATCGTAACGCCACGCGATGTTGCCACGTGGATGTCTTCTCCAGTAGCAGATGACCTTCACGACACGGCGATGGCGGCGGCGCCTACCAATTCTTACAACGACGATACCGTCGAGTCCGCCATAGCCAAGCTTGAAAGGGCCAACGACGATATGCGTTTCCCGCTCGGATTGTCGGGGCCTCTCGTTCTTGTTAAGGATTGGCTACGTGTCGGCAGATCCGGACCGCTGCTTCCTCATGATGACATGCCGCGACTGGGCAAATCTGGGCCGCTGGCTCCCGATCTCGATCCCTCTCAGGATCGACTACAACAACCAGACGATCCCCTTGCAGAGGAGGCTTCAGACTCAAGAAGCGGCAACGGCTACAGCAGCAGCAGCGGCATGCAGAGAAGGAACAGCAGGGTCAGCAGCAGCATGCCCTCTGCCGGCGCGTATGGCCCGAACTGTAGTCAGCTGATCCCGCAGGACCGTGCGCGGCGAGAGCGCAAGCATGTGCCGCTTGCGCCGCTGTCGGAAGACTTATCGTTCGATCCAGATCCCGTCTCTACCCGCAGCTCCCGCGTCACTCGTCTCGACAATAAAGGCAATGCTGGATCAAATGGAGGTCCGGAGATGGTGGTGCCGCAAGCGGTTTTAGCGAGAGGGGTGGGAGGAGGAGGAGGAGGAGGAGGGGTGTTGGCACTGACAGGTCGGCTTGGGCGGTTGCCTGGCGAAGATCCTGCTCAGGATCTGACGATCGCAGACGCGGGTTGGGGGTTACGTTTATGTGCCCGTCATAGTCTCCAGAAGATGAGCTCATTGGGGGCGGAGTGGGAGGAGGCACAAGGCAGCGGCGCGCCTTGCCAATTTGCTCCCGATTCGAGATACGACATGAGATCTGCTGGATGCGCGGTTGCAGGCCAGAAGGAGGAGGAGGAGGAGGAGGAGGAGGAGGAGGAGGAGGAGGAGGAGGAGAACGCAACAGGGTGGGGAGGCCAACAACCTACGGGGCGCTTGTTGATGGACCCTGAGTTGGATGGTGGGTATGCATCTGCTGCGGAATCTGAAGGGGAAGACGCGCGATGGCGGCGCAGCCGCCGGCGCACAAGAGAAGCAACCGAGGGGAAGGTTGATAAAGGTGGCGGCGCGATGTCGAAAGCTTCTGCTGCTGCTGCTGCTGCTGGAACACCTACCTTCCCTCCTCGCCCTTCTGTTGCCGGCTTGGGGCTCTCCTCCCGCTTGACATGTGCGAGTGGGGAAAGGCCGTTGTGTTCATCTCCCGATGATGCGAAAAGCTTCGCTGACCAGTGGCGGGAAGCACGCCTGGAGGATGGGCACGACTTAGCATCCAGTCGAGACGGCAACGGTAAATTAAAGGATGATGATCATCATTCTTACAAGGCTGAGGTGGCCATTGAACCTGGGAAGACGGTAGAGATCTGGGGCAATCCGGTCTTCGACCCAGAGTCGCCAGAGGCAAGGAAGACGGGATGTGGCCGAGAAGAACCACCATCGCCGCCGTTGCTAAGTGCAGTGGAACAAAGCAGAGGATGGGTGAGGGAGAGGAGCGTGTTGTACGTTGGCGAGGATGGCACCATGCAGAAAGGTTCATCGTCTACATCGGTATCGACGTCATTGTCTTCCGGAGAAGATGGGGGAGGAGGAGGAGGAGGAGGAGGAGGAGGAGGAGAAGTGGGCATACGTGAAGACGTTGTGACGAGCAGAAGTAGAGAGGAGGGTGAGGGAGAGGGAGAGGGAGAGGAAAGAGGCAGCGAGCTGAAGAAGGATGGGACGAAAGAGAGGGAGAAGAAGCAGCAGTGGGAGCAGGAGTACGAGGAGGAAGGAAGAGGGAGAGGGAGGAGTAGGGACAGGGCTGCGGGCAGGGAGAATCCCGACGAGGGGGAGGAGAGGAGGGATCACGTCGTGACGTGGCGAAGGAAGAGTTCCCTCCGTCATTCATATGTAACAGAGGAGGAAGATCCGGTGGTCTTTGGCGATGGCGCCGGCGATGCTGGTGGCAGATATGGCTATGGCGGGGGTCAGCCTTCGTCTCCCGGATCTCCGTCTGGCAACTTGAAGGATCTACTCCCGGAGCCATTTCCATGGAGCCCGATTGCGCAGCCTCCTGCCGCTGACCTGTCGGCAGCGGCACGGAGGACCAAGATGAGGGAAATGATGGTGGATATGGTGGTGTTGTGTATGGGATCAGACGCTTATTCAGCCATGGAGTGCAATTTGGTAGGAAAGGATGCATACAAAGGGAAGATGATGACGGTGCGGGAGTTCAATATGAAACATGAGAGCGACCCGATGAAGGACAAGCACGTGCTTGTGCTTGGCGGAGACGACAGGTCGATTGGATGCGCACTGAAGGCCAAAAAGGCTGGTGCAAGTACCACCCTCCTGCTTGGGAAAACCTACCCCGACGGTAGCAACAGCTGCAGCTTCTCCACGGGACTTGCCACCACTCACAGGCCGCAGGATAGCCTCTGCCGCCCACTGACATCTACTTCATCAATGCATGGGGAATCCATAGGAGGAGGAAGAGGACGAGGAGGAGGAGGAGGAGGAGGAGGAAGAGGAAGAGGAAGATCGGACGAGGAGAGTACTAGCCGATTGCCGGGATCGAGCTCTGGTCACCATTCGCTGAAGATGACGTCATTCCGACGACTGTTCTGGAAGATGAGTGTGAAGAAGTATGCCCGCGAGACACGTGGCATTTTGGATAAGGGTGATTTTTACAGAAAGATCTACTCTTTGGCGCACAAGCACAAGATCAGCATGCTGACTACATCCATTGAGCGGTTCACCGAACATGGCGTCATTCTTGCCAACAAGATCGAGCTTCGAGCAGACTACGTGGTGACTGGCCCGGGCTTTCTTCGTCGTTCCGAGTTCCTGCCCGAAGAAACTATGACTCTGCTTAATCCCAGCGGCAAAGATCTTCATCTTTACCGTTCGATCGTTCATCCCGACGTCCCAGATCTCGCCTTCATCGGCTACGAAGTCGGCTTTCCCAGCAACGCCCTCACCTCCTACAAGCAAGCCCGTTGGTTGTCGGAGCTCCTCAGCGGCAAACACCATCTCCCAACGAAGAGTGCCATGATGAAAGAGATGGATAGAGCGAGGCAGATCCCCAAGAGTGACAAGACTAAGTTGGAAGACCGTAGATTGCAATACCACAACCAGCTGGACGGAGACTACACTCCCACTCCCAGTCGTGAGCAGCAGTCTAGGAGGAGATGGAGGTGGAATAGCTGGGACGGCAGTTTAGATCTCGCCAGCTATAAATTTATTACCAGAAGTGGAAGCCAGTCTAATATGAAGCACCAGGAGTACCGCAACACCAGCAGCGGCGATAGAAAACCCCTCATACGGTTTTAGCCACCCCTGCTTTTCAAGGGGTGGGTGTTCTTTTTTTTTTTCAATTTTCTCGTTTGCCCCTTTTGCGTTGTCCATTATATGACCTTGCCTTCGGCGGAAACTTGTAATTATTTATACATAATACATATATATATTTGCGATGACGATGACGATATCCTCTTCTCCCTCCCTCTCTGCCTACGGTTTACCGGGGAGCTCTGTTTCACGATACATAAGTATCTATATTTGAGGATACATAGACAGACAGAGTAACCAGAGCATCACCGAAATCCTTGCTGGCTGGCCATGCTGCCGTGCTGAGGTGTCACATACACACACACACACACACACACACACACACACACACACACACACACACACACACACACACAATCCAGTCATCTCTCACGCTCTTCCTAGCACAGCTGCACACTCCTCTCCCTCTCTCTCGCCAGGGATGGGATGACCGACGCCTGATTGCATTGGCATTGGGTGACTCGCCCACCCCTGCCCACACTCTGTGATACTCTGCACAGTGCAGTGTACGACGTCCTCCGGCTGTGGAATGTGTCCGTCTCGGTAGCTGCAGGCTTGGCTTGGCTTTCTATGGAGTAACCAAACCAATGGAAGCCGATCCGTTTGGTGACGGCGAGGAGCTTCGGAATCCCTAACGGAAGAGTTTAACGGAGGGGAGCTTCCCACTTAGGGGGACTAACGGAAGAGTTCAACGGAGGGGAGCTTCCCACTTAGTGGGAGAGGTTAAGCCGCCATTACCTTTCCCAGCAGCTATGGGCCGCGGGACCTGCGCGCCGAAGCAGAGTAGGGGCCTTGCTGCACTACTCTCGACATGCACAAAAGACAAGAATATTGGCCGTGTATCTTTTTCATATTCTAGCGGAAGATTCACTCTAGTTTTGCACATTTCGAGAGTAGTGCAGCGAGGCCCTAGGTCTCTTACCGGTTAATCGGTAAGGGCTTGTCGATCAGGGCCTGGGTAAGGGCTTTTTCATTTGGCCCTGGGCTGTGTAGTGAACGCGGAAGGCTAGCTCGAAACGCGCAAGCCTCGGAAGGTTAGCTTTGTCGACTGAGGTTCCTGTGAAGTTTGAACATGTGGCAGTTGCGGAGTGGATTCTGCTGCCAGTCTCGGGAAGTGCCAGGGAGCCGTTTTGCGGCACATCCATCACATCCATCCACTGCAGGCAAAATGGCTCGAAT